TTGTCGTTACTCATCGTGGAAAACGGCCTAAAGGAGAGCGACTGACCTGATTAGTCCATGAAAGAGCAGGATACTTGGAGGACCGGGCCGCTGCAAGCAGCGAAACCCGAAGCGTGCAAACGGGTCCCCTTCTGCGGCGCAGCCCCCGAGCACGTTTACATCCTCCAAGCCACCCTTCAGACCAAGAGGGTTCCTACCCCGATTTGGTCGGCGTAGGGAAATTAAACGCCATGATCAGGTGCCAATAATAATAATCGATCGATATTCTCTTAGATTGACAATTTACACCCGAGAATGTACGCCTCAACGGTCTCAACCCACTCGAACGCAGAGAATGTGTACTATGTCTTCTAGGTTGGAAAAAATTTCCGAATCTGTAATCCGTTTGCGTTAAATAAAAGAGTTTGGGGGTAAACCGAATTTGCTAATATCCTTACGAAGTCCATTAACTGTAGCGCGCCCGACTTTTTTTGTTTGGTTATGTAGCTTAGCTGGATGAACAGCAGTGGACACGGATAAAAACTTGCAAACCCGGATTCAACTATGGATCCGGTATAGTGAATCGTCGATGATACCGCCGAGTCGTCGCCTGACTCAACTATCATAACTTGGTGGCTTCGGGTAGATCGGTTCAGCACTCAGTGAGCTAGTGCGTCTGCGGTTGCGCGATTTCATCCGGGAATGTGAGACGACTCTCACTGCCGGCGAGCAAATCAATTGACCGACAAGAGAAAACTGTAGAATGTTGCTTTACCGAGACTGTACGTACTCTTGGAACGCCGTGGACGTGCTCGTGGACGGTCTCCTCCAGCACGGAAAGATAGTCAACCTGGCGGAGGCCGGCCTGATCATTGATTTCGGGTGTGCCGCGCAGCGCTCGCATTTCGTCGCATATGGAACCGTTTTCCGCTGTCCGTCCCGGCAGGAATACTGGCATGAACCGGAAAGGGAACTGCATGTGCTGCTGCGCCCGCGTCCAGACGCAGCCTGGAGCTGATACCCAGGAAAGCTGGCCCCCCTTAGGGGCTGCTGCTTTGGAGCGGCGGCATTCGTGCAGGTGCAACTGCCGCACGGCACCGTCGAAGAGGTGGTTCTCTGGGACCAAGTGCGCCCCGCGTTGACAGACGAGAGTCCCGAAGGTCACCTGCGTCCTCTTGTGAAGCACAACGACTTTGTCATCCGCGCATGCCGGCTGCCTGTCGCCTACTGGTCGGAAGCGACCCCGCAGCATGGAGAGATCCTGAAATCCCGAGTCAACGAACGCTACACGGTACTGTGCATGGCCGTGCTCAGTCAGACCCTGCTCTATCTCCAGATGGGATATGCCATTCCTTTAACAGCTGAACAAGTGGTATGTAAATCGTAATTACAGAGCACCAGCTTGTCTCGTAATTTCTGTCGCAAAGGAACAGATAGCACGTATTTAGCGCGAAGTTGCGCTTTGCAATTACCACAACACGCCTACCCAATGACAGATTCACTCCTCTCCAGATTTAAGATAATATGTATAGAGACGAGCATCGCTCACAGAAATACATTCAAATGAAAAATTTGTCCCAGTTGGCACGAGAAGGGACGGCACATAACACACTCATGGCATTCCCACGCATTATTTCCAAACTTAAACGCTGAAACAAAAAACAATTAGAGCGGCTCTCGCCCGTCCTGAATAGTTTCGTATCTGGATAGATCTTTATCTTTAGCGGCACCGCGACATTTCGCCGAGTACAACCAGTCGCTGGACTTTTGGTTGCTGACATTTCGCCGTGAGGTCATCTCGCCGCATGACGTTTCGCCGCGGGATATTTACAGTAGTCGGCAAGACATTACGCCGCCAGACATTTCGCGGCGAGGCTGTTTCGACGAAAAGTAATTTTTGAGGCTAAGGCTATTTTGCCGCACATACTGCGGTAAAATAGCAATTTCGAATTTTTAAACAGGCATATGTTTTATTATTGAATTCTATTAGGAACAACTACGAAAAAATGCAGGAACACAAGAGAAACTTACTAAAATTTTCCGGGTTTCTTGGAAGGTTTCCTTAGGTTGCTTAGTCTTGATAGGTTAATCTTAGGTTATTCTTGAGTTGTTGTTAGGTTATTGTCCTGGTTATTCTTTGGCTGTGTCCGCGTTTTTTATGCTTAGGTTATTTTTTGGCTTCTTAGTTTTTTCGTACGGTTCTTAGCCTTCGTACTTTCTTGGTTTCCTTAACGTTTTCTAACGTGTCGAATTCGTTTGCGGCGAAGTGTCGGCGACCAGATGTCTTGCGTCAAAATATCGCAAAGTTAAAATGTCCAAATGCAAATTGTCCCAAACCGAAGTGCCCCAGCGTTAAAATGTCCCGCAGCGAAAACTCGTGCGCCCCATTTAATCACGGCGAAACGTCGCACTCCCAAATGTCCGGGTGCGATTTTGTGGGCACCCTTTGCGGTAAAAATATACAGTACTACGCGAACGGTTTTCACATGGAATCGGAATAATTATGTCGACCTCGTTTGAAATTTTAATAGAATTTCGCAAAAGCAATGGGAAAATACCGAATGAATCGCAAAAGTTTTCGGAAATAGGTATTAGCGCGCAGGTTTTACCAGTCCCTCTTTTGCATATCTGATGGCGCACTTGTGGAATGAAATCAGTCTAGACTGCCCCAGGAATTATACAACCGCATTAACAGTTTTGACTCTTGCTTGGATACGGTTGAATGGGCGGATTTAAAATGAACTAAGCGTTTCCTTCAACTTCATGCTGATCATTACTGTTTACTGTAAAACTGTTGTTTAGGTTTGCGATGTTTTGCGATGTAAGGCTACCACTGATGTGATAGCCTTTTCTCCCATGTTAGTCTATAACCTGGGTGCAGGACATCCCTGATTGTTGTAGACATTAAGCTCATTAACAAACAAACAAAAGTCGATTCCTAGTCATTAACGAATCACGGTTCTTTTCAGCAAGAGGAATGTGAGCAGGCGAAGAAGAGCCAGACGGGGATGGGCTCATTACCGGCCCTGCAGACGTGCACTGTTACCGCTGGCCAGAAGCGGCAGACTGCCTCCAGCACCGGCGTAAGCCTGCCGCTGCCGTCTGAGCTGCTGGTGGAGGTATTCCAGTCCATGGATTCCATTGAGCGCGTCCGCCGTCGCCGTGTAAGTGCCGCATGGGACCGCCTGCTCACCAGCGACGCCTACTTTCCCGAGGTGCGCGTCTCCGCTGGCGCTGGGGTATATGGAGAGAGGATTCCCTCTGACGAGGAGGAGATTTTCTGGGTGCAGACATGTTTGTTCAAGTGCCTGACCAGCGCCACCAAGATGGCGCTGATTCTCAAGACGAACAGGAGCGGTATCTTTCACTTCCTGGCTCCACACGGTCGCGTATTCAACGCCGACCGCAAAATCCCGCTGTTGGTGCTCTGTGAGTGCGAACTGGACGCTGCCTTTCTTCTCCCCCCAGATGTCATCGACCACTTAGTGTTCAAGGCCTGGGAGTGCTCGTGTGAGAGGATGGTGTGGAAGAACTGCCGGATCCCGTCGATCCTGCCGAGCGTCGATGTAGCGCAGCACGCCTTCCGTATCCGGTCGCGAGAGGACATTGCAGTGCACCTTTGGGAGTACTTTGAGGAGCGCTAGGCGGCCCAGAATCTGATTGATTTGCCGGAATTATCTAAATGGATTGTGGACTGCTTGACTTATCAGCAGGACAATCAAATTGGAGATATTCTAAGGGTAAATACTTTAACGGTTAACCATCAGTGGGTGAGGAGCACACTAAGTGAACTGGATATTTGCCGTTTACAGGTGCTGAACAGATGCCAAAGTGTGGATCCGCGCCCGACGACTCAGTATCGCGGTGTGGAGTGGACCGTGTCCAACATCTCCGATCTGGATGTAAGCAAGCTGACCAAGCTGACTGCGATGGTTTTGCATGAGATCAAGAAACGCATTCAGGAGAAACTAACAAGTATTCGGGTTTAAATGTGAATGGCATTTGGTTGTTCAAGTTTAAAATAAACTTACTAACAAGTACCGTTTGCGAGTAACCATGTCTAGTATGCGTATTATTGATGTTCTGCGCCACTCGAAGAACAGATCAACTAACCATAAGGGCAAAGGATTGTTTTTTTATTCGATCGAGCAGTGCTTTTTAAACAGCGCAGGTTGAGAATTTGTTTGTTGATTGATACGTTGCACTCGCTTATGGTTTCCCGAATCATTGATTATGTAATACTGTGAATAAAGAATAAGGTTCCTTTGTCCCGGAGATGGTGGTCCGGGTGGATGATACGGTTACGCCGTGCTGCCGGCGGATGGTGTGGCGTCATTGTTTGCGTCTTTGATTACCGTCTGACGGCCACCGCAGATATTCGTTCAGTGGTACGTCCAGCGGCAGCGAGCAGGTTAGGTTGCAGCTGTGAGAGGTATCTCCTGGAGCCGCTAAACTGGCCGGCCGTGGCAGAATGGATAGCAAACTGGATCCTTCACCAGCGAACCGAGCAGATTCACCAGGAAATTGTCAAAGGTCTGCAGATCATCCATTTTTGCCCATTACGTTGACAGAGACCCCCGTAGTACAGTCTCCTCACGTACTAGAGCCTAACGGAAAGCACTGCGGGCCATTACTGATTACAAGGAGTGGGGTAACCCCAGAGCTGTATCAGAAATTGAGCATCCTGCCGCTGCTTAACCGTTGAAAACAGTCGGAAGCCGTCTGGTTGTACAAGATCTACAACCATGACGTGTACAACCTCTGCCGTACCTGACTGAAATGATTGACTTCAAGGACCTGTCACGGCAGTACCATACAATCTCCGGAAACCGGAACGAATCCAAGCCGGAACGAAACAGAAAATCGGAGAATGCACGCTTGCCACACGGTTGAAGAACGTTTATGAGCGGATTCAAAAAGTTAATGTAAAGATACTCAATGTTAGTGGTGTCGGCTTTTTTAAGTTCCCTCTGAAAACTGTTGATCTGTTTTGATAAACACCTTAGTAACATTAGCTGGTTTTTTTTTCTTTTACCGACCAGACATTGAAGTCTTGTTTACCGGGTTGTCTGCTCCTGATACTATGAATGAATGGTGAGGAGTTTTAAATTGACGCTAGTCACATCATTTCTTAACCTTCTACCCAATGTAAACTAGGGCAGAGAAGTACAAACACCAACAAAAAAGAAATACAGTTTTCACAGGCTATAACAAGAAAATTTCCTCTAATTTCTCCTGATCCGGTATTGTGCCCATCACGCACATAGCATTTCCTCTTTGAATCTGTATGGAGATCCGCTGCCGGAAAAATTCTTTCGCCCGTGCTTGCCCGGTAGTGGTCGCGATGAGGTGTCCGGTTTTATCGACCAGCTTCTTAGCTCCGTCGCCCATAGGTCCGTATGTTTCCAAGGCAGCGGCAAAAAAATTGTACCTTGGCTGGAGCCACGCATGTTTTGCGAGCTTTTTTGCTTCGGCTAGTTCCGCTGCGGCACCGACATTGACGGCTGTACGGTCCAGATATGAAGTTGCCAGAGTGTTCACACAGGTTACGTCTATTGCGAGTGGTTTACCACGTTCCCATGGGACAAGCGTAACTACATCCGGTCTTTTGTTACCTACTAAGGCCAATCCTTTCGGTTCCACTCTGGCAGGGAAACCACCCGTCGTTAACGCGCGAGCGAACTCCTTGCTGATGCCGTCATGTCTAGGTAGTCGTCCGGCTGATCGTTTGCACCGCAGTCCATAATCCTACCCAGTTCTTGATCGACACCGTACTAGAGGAGTTCCTGCAGTCTGCAGTGACTGCAGATTGCGTTGCGTTCAGACTGCTGTGCAGTCTGAACGCAACGCTCAAGTGTGAGTCTGCCGTCTGCCGCTTCTTAGGCTTCACAGCTTTCTTCTGTTTCCTTAAATTTCTTAGGTATCTAGATTTCTTAGGTTGTGTGACGGAGTCACCGTCAAGGTCAGCGAGCGGTCGATTACATCATGTGACAATAGATTTACGTCACTTCCTGTCATACCGCTTTCATCCAGCACAGTCACCACCGAAGCCCCGCTCCATCCCAGCCGGCCATCCTCATATATAAGGAGGCCTTCTGGCCGCCAGTCAGTCAGTCCGCTCTTCACCAGCAGTCTAGCTTCTAACCATAGAGTAGTTGTACTGGGAAGGTGTTTCACGGATTAAAGGTCAAGGTCTTCAGGTGTTGTGTTCCGCTCGTTTGTACGCATAGGTACACATAGCCCTGCATAGGTATAGGTCATCGTCGACCACACACACACACACACACACACATAGGGTGCACTACGGGAGGACTCAGTCTTGCGACAGATTCTTAGTAGTAAGATTCTTAGTTTCTTGGGTTTCTTGAAATCCTTTTAACAGTTCGTGTATGTACGTAGGCAGTACAAATTACGAAACTGATTTCTAAACCGGTGATTTATGCTTTATCCAGACCAACCTATGTTCGCGGCGAAGACCATCATGGCCGCGTCACCGCTCTCGACCCATCTAGCCACATTTCCGCATCCACCGAACAAAGAACGAAGAATCGCAGATCTTCCGCCAATATGCCTATCTCTCAGCTGCCTCTTGTGTTCCTGCTGGAGGTGTTTCGCGCGCTGGACTCTATCGGACGCCTCCGTATGCGGCTTGCCGGCTCCCTATGGAACAGTATTCTCGGCCACCGTTGGAAGCAGTGCCGCGTGTTTGACCACCACCTACAAGCGGTCACTGCGCACTACGCCATCTTACCGGACGCTTCGCTGGAAACTCAGCTGTGGGATCAGTTTGAGCAGAATCTGGCGCTCCAGAAACCGCTGGTTGAATACGTTGCCAACGCGGTCACCCACAATCGCGCCATACATTTTAGGCACATAATCTCGGGTGAGCAGTATTGCGATGTTTTTAATAGCCTGGTAGGCCGGCACATGGTGATCAAATTTGTGTACGTCACGAAAACTTTCCCATCCCGATGTTGCCAAAGAATTTTTTTCGGAATATCATAACATTTGTTGCCGGATTCGATGCATGTACATGGACGTGAAAACCGTATGTTCGAGAAACATCCGGTGGGGAGTTACGGTCTTATTGAACAGAAGCGCTGAAACATTAAATACGAGCCGCAGTAGCCGGCATGTTAAGCTATCTGCACAAGCAAAGGTGTAAAGCTGGGTTCTTTAATGATAAAGTAACGCGGATGTAGAATGGTTCTACATTGATTGTACATAGAATGATTGCTAATGCATGTGCAGTAGCAGCTTATAAGCTAGAACAGCACTGACGTCATAGAGTACATGAGACATACATGTGGCCAGCATGCAGTACTCATAAGTACATCACGTTCTCATCATGACAAAGGCCATGATGAAGGTCTGCCGCTGGCAACAACAGCGCAGGTGTGCAAAAGCATTAAGCTCACAGTTGTACAGATTGTACGTTTGAGCTCAGTTGCATGTTCACTGTTGATTTACTCAACAGTTAACACAGTCAGTAGACTCAGTACTCCCTAGTCATCGCAGCTGGATTGTGTTCGCAATATTCTGCATTGTTCAAAATCAATATCATATTAGTGCGTCTTTGACATTCTCCGTTTCAACTGTCGTGTGTCAGTCGGGCGATCTGCTAAACTGACCGCTTGAAAGGGAACACTAATTTTGAACTGCAATGTTTTTTTACGGAGACGACGTGAATAAGTGGAACGCCGTGGATGTCCTTATCAACGGTCAGCTGCAGCACGGCCACATCATCAACGTGGCGGCGAACCGTCTGCTCATTGATTTCGGATGTCCGGCCCGGCGCTCACAATTGGTTGAATACGGGAAAGCGAAAATTTTCCGCTACCACTATCAGTATGCGAGTACGTTCGTGGAGGTCCTGCTGCGCGGTCATCCCGACGGCGTTTGGACCTGGTACACGGGAGATAACGTCCCCGTGGACGGCTATTCCTCGGCCGACTTCGAATATGTGGAAGTGCGGCGACCGTACGTCACCGTCCGGGAACTGGTCCCTAGGAAGCAGATTCGCCTGCCGTTGGAGTGCGTAGTTTCTGAATATCTGCGCGTGAAGGAGGGGGACTTTCTCATCCGCTCGTTTCCCTTGCCACTCGCCTACCGATCCTCGTCCAGGGACTCGCAATTACTCTGGCAGATCTTCAATGGGGAAATGGCTCGACGCCACAATTTGCTGTTTACCGGGGTGCTCGGCGAGGAGATTTGCTATCTGCAGCATCGGACTGGCATCCCACTGACAAGCCTCCTAGTGGTAGGTACTTGGTAATGCCGGACGAATTTGTAACGTACACGCTTATCCCGTATACGGGATAAGCGTGTATCTGTACATTACGTAATTAATTACGGTGCATCACATTAATACATTAAGACATTGATGCATTCAATTAATACATTGCTACATTATATTAATAAATTACGTAATTAGTTACGGATTAGTACACTACCTTACATTACGTTAGCGTTAAAACATATTAGTACGTATTGACACACCAACAAATACTCACACATAGAGAGTATCTACCAAAAAGCTTGTGGAAAAGGTTGGAAATGGTACAGCGACTTCCACCGACCAGAAACGGGCCAATGAGTTTTTTTTTAAACAGCGAATATCTATTCAAATACGAGTTACAACGGGCACACGCGATTTGTATGGGTACGATCCGCGATCAGGATGGCAAAGGGGAAGTTTTTGTTTGGTACTTAGTTTGTGCTAGATAAGAACAGCAAGTCATACGTAAAAGAACAGACAACACGTACGTCACAGCACTTACATACATAAGGGAATTTTAGATTTACACGTAGTTGGGCCCATGTACATGAGAAACTACGAGGTAACATAGGCTGTACGACGGCGAACCGGAAGCGCTTTAGATTGCCATACGGCTGCAGTGACGTACACATAGCAAAATTTTCACTGTCGCGACAAACAAAAAGCCAAATAAATGCGAAAAATTTTAATCATCTCGAGAATAAATTCAAATAAATTCCACAAAATTCAGACTGGGTTTTAGTTTTACTGCTTTTAGAATCTTATTAAATACAAAGTTTTCTAAAATACCTGTCCTCTGGGGATTCATCTGAAATATTCACCGTTTCCTGTTCAAGGGATCATGGCTAATTCCTTCACACAATTTCTTCAAACAGTTATCGCCCTGGATGAATTCGAACCAGAATAACTCGCACTATTCCTGTCCCTCTATCACGATCAAAAATCCCAGGAAAAAGAAAACAGAAAAAGGTTCAACCTTAATGATATCAGCGATGAGGACTGTATTGCGTGGTTGGTAGTAATACACTTGTCTCGACCGGCATTTAGATGTGGGACGCTGATAAGAGCGTCCCGGGATGACGTCCCGTTTTTCAAAATTAATTTAAAAAATTCGTAAAAATTTCAAATGAATAGTAAAAAATTACCAGAAAATACAGGAAAATCTACAGATCGTGTTTGCTGGCAGCACCGCTGCTGGCAGGGACGACGTCCCGATTGCCAAAAATAAATAAAGAAATTTGGAAAAAATTCCTAATAACTGGAAATAAATCACGAAAAAATATCTAAAAATACGCAAGCGTTACCTGTAAGAATTGCCACTGCTGACAGTCAAGCGATTTAGAACGGCTACAAATTCCAATAAAGCATCGCAACTAGAATGTAAGACGGATGACATCGTCTATTAATTACAGCGGAAATCATGGTGCTCCAATGGCATGTTCCGCTGCTAATACCGTATAGGCATTAGCAGTAAGCATAACTTAAATGTGTGAGCACACTAATAAAAACCAAAACAAAATGTCACACGCGCAGAAAATATTCTCGCAGCATGGCTGTCTGGCGTGGTAAGGGACTTTGATCCCGTACCACTTTTTTCCTGTGGTGCGCGTGGCAAGTACACTGTGTGTGCGTGTGGTACTGGGCCATGCGGTACCGCTGCATACAGCAGCATAGCGCACTTGGCGACCCGTACATGCTCCCTTAGAAAGCGTATTAGCATAACCACCGCTACACAACGACCTGGATTTATTCGCGTTATCTGGAAGAACCCATAATTCTGCCCGCGCCTGTTCCGTGTGTACCCATCTCATCCCACCTGTTGTACGTGTTGTAAGTAGTTCGTACGCATGTTTGGCTGCTGTAACGAGTAACGAGATATTTGTGTGATCGTTCTGTAGGTGTGCAAGGCGTACTACTCGCAAGCTGACCATGTCTCTGAACAAGGTAAAGCAACCCGAAATGATTTTGTAGTGATTTACCTACTTTTTGTCCTGAAGAATTTTGTTATCGTATTTTAAATAAGACAACAGTTTTGCTGACTAATTTTATTCTTAAAAAACTATTTTCATCCAATTTTAAGCCTAAAAACTTTTTACACATAATTTAATGCAAAAAACTTTTTACGCTTATTTTAATGCGAAAAATTTTTTTAGCCTTATTTTAAACCGAAAAACTTTTTCCGCCATATTGTACACTGAGAAACTTTTTGGCCTAATTTAAAGTCGAAAAACGTTTTACACTTAATTTAATGCGAAAAAACTTTTTACGCTTATTTTAATGCGAAAAATTTTATGATCTTTATTTTTAACCGAAAAACTTTTTCCGCCATATTGTACACCGAAAAACTTTTTCGCCTAATTTAAAGTCGAAAAACTTTTTACACTTAATTTAATGCGAAAAAACTTTTTACGCTTATTTTAATGCGAAAAATTTTATGATCTTAATTTTTAACCGAAAAACTTTTCCGTCCTATTTTACACCGAAAAACTTTTTCGCCTAATTTAAAGTCGAAAAACTTTTTTCACTTAATTTAGTGCGAAAAACTTTTGACGCCTACTTTAATGCGAAAAACTTTTTAGCCTTATTTTGAAACGATAAACTTTTTCCACCCTATTTTACACCGAAAAACTTTTTTCATCTAATTTTAAGTCTGAAAACTTTTGCACTTAATTTAATGCGAAGAACTTTTTCCGCCTTATATAAACTAAAAAACTTTTCTTTTGAAATTTTAAGCTCGAATACGTTTAAGACTAATTTAATGCGTAAAAAGTTTGTACGCTTATTTTAAAGCGAAAAACTTTGCAGCCTTATTTTAATGCAAACAATTTTCAGCCTTATTTTAAAACGAAAAAACTTTTTAATCGTATTCTAAACCTAAGAATTTTATATTCTTATATCAGTGAAAAATCATTTGATATTCTGTAACCGTTTAAAGTTTTTTCCTTGAAGGTTCTTTTAATTTATTCTTGTTTTTTTTTCTTACGTTTGTAGCAATTGAACAATGAGTGGCGCAAGCTAATGACGGCTGCCCCGTATACGAGCGCCCCTTAGGGGGCGCGTAAGCTTCTGGTGATTGCAGCATCCGGGAGTGCCGATGAACGTAATCAGTTCTACGAAAATGCGGTAAGGATTTTAACGGGGTAGTTTTTAAAAAGGAAAAAAGAATAGGGGTTGACCGTTGACCAGGTGTTGTTTCTGTTTGCAGCGTGCAGTTTTGGATAGCACCCGTGATGTTGAGGACTGTGCGGCCAGCATCCAGCGAAACGCGATTCTTTGTGTGGACGCGTTAAGCGATTCAGTGACTAAAATTCAGCACGAGCTCAGCAGTATGCGTAAGGCGTTAGCGAAAGCACTGGTGGAAACTGAGAGAGCTCAGAGCAAGAGAGACATTGTTATGGCCGTTCTCCGTAAGCGTACTGCCCATCCGGAGTGGTTCTGCCGGGAAGAATACCGTGAGCCAGAGCCGTTGACCAAGAAACGAAAGGTCAACGAAGGTAAAGCTGGAGCCATAACCAGCGAGGATGGCTCAACAATGTATCCTGAACGTTTTGACAAAACTGATAACCAATTCGAAGACGTAAGTTCTATATGGTTTGGAATGGACTTATGGTGATGTTGTATCGTTGATTTTTTTCTTCTGTAGTTGGTGATGAAGCATGAAAAAGGCTTTCGAGATATGATGATTAAGAGCCTGTGCCAGGTTCCAGTTCAGAATGGGTTCAGGGAGTTGGCTTCCATGGCGGCTGACCTGAAATCAGAATTCGACACTTGTGTGCGCGAAAACCTGCTATCCGATGTCGAAGTTCCAAAACGTACCTGCATCCAGGCAATGGTGGATTGCTACGTAAACGGGTTTAAAGCCGAGGACGTGAAGAAGTTCCAGGAGGCAAAGTATGAGGCGGTGGTGTTCATAGAAGACTTGAACGCTGAATATGTGTCAGCACTAGAGGACTTGGATTCTGAGTAATAGCGATTAGTTTAAGGATAAGTAATGTTTTCGTACAAAATGTTTGAAAAAAAATAACAAACTTTGAACTAATGTACCAACGTTTATGCCAAGTAATTCTAGTCCGTTTAATCAAGATATCTGCATAATTATATTGAAAAAAAATTAACAATCAATACCATATCAAGCCAATCAAGTACAAGCTAGCAATGCTATACAGCTAGGTATATAAAAGCACTCGACGCAACGCACGAACGGCTCATTTCCAGTTTTTGTAAGTCATTTGCTTAATAAGTCACTACAATGAAGCGTAGCATTCAACTAGAAGGTTCTCCTTGTAAATATTGCAAGTGTTTTCATGACAGCGATGAAGAAGAGCAGATTGTTACGGAGGCGTGTCCCGAGTGTCAACCGGTGCCGAAGGAGGTGTTCAAGGATTTCCAACTCCCAAGAGTTTCCAAGCGCTTTCTCCACTGCTTCGATCACCAGTTGGAGGGTGTACTGAAGTGGTACGCCACGTCCCCCCGGAAGCGACTCAATTCAGCCGGAGAACCAGGCGACCTTGGTTGTGCGATGTGCACATGGAGGGATGGCGTGGAGACGGTGTATGCCGGTAATGCAGCGGACAGTCTTGAAGCTCAAGGCGCCAGGGACATCTGGACGTCGACACCACTCACCAGGAATTGGTTGCGACAGTACACCGAACCGGATGGATGCGGGCTTCCATTTTACCAGCAGGACACGATGAAGTACATCGTTTCCTTGATTACCCCCATTGACTCATATCATCTGAAGCGGGTTTCATCGGCGTTCAACTTCTACGCAGAAGAAGAAATAGCTGCTCGAGCTTCCAAACCCGAGGTCATCTTCAAAGCTTCAGATGTGGATAACTACACCAATGAAGGCATCCATCCTCCGTGCGACAGGTTGTACTGCGAAGTTCGAAATTTTAGCAAGAAGCTGTTCTGCGTAGTGTCCAACCGCACGAAATGCATCACCTTCGACATGAGGGAAAGCAACGGGGCCTACATCAATCATATGCACGACCATTTCTGCACGGTACTGCTGGTTCTGCAGGACGTTGCACCGGAGCTGCGCCTAGAGCCCTGCACGAGCCGAGCCGCTCGGCTCGGCTCGCGAGCGCTCGCTGCTCGCGAGCCCTTCGAGCGAGCAGGAGCCGTTTTGCAAATTTGCGAACGAGCTGAGCAACAGAAGAAAAATTGCGAGCGAGCCGAGCGAGCAGGATGGTCAGGTGCGAACGATCGCGAGCCTACAGGCTGACGTTGTGCGAACTGAAGGAGTTTTTGCAGTACAAAATTACATTGACGGACCAGAAAACGGTCATAAACCACCGTCACCTTCGCGCTTCGCGCGAAGGGAAACTGTTTATAAACCAAAAATGAAGTAAGTTAAGTTAATGAATTACTAACTATTGAAACTCTACTAACATTTTCTTTGATCTGTGGGCACTCGAGACTAAGTACTTGATAGTATTCCCTAGCCAACAAAAGCAGTATTTGACAGGTTTTATTAAACAGTTACCTGATTCGTAAAAACAGATACATTTCAATTTTCAAACATTCTATTTTATTTACTTCAGGCTACATAAATCAAGAAAAGCACATCCAGTTGAAAATTATAGAAAGGTATTAGCGAAAAAAATGAAATTGTTAAGAAATGGACTACCAGTATGGAGTCTCTGAACACCGTATTACAATTACTGTATTTTGTGAGTGCGAAAATTTTGATGTTACTTATTCGTGCAAAAAAATTGATACTTAAAATTTTTGCCGATCTCACGAGCGAGCCGATTTGCAAAACTAAAATTACGAGCGAGTTGAGCGAGCGGAAGCAATAGAAAATTCTAAAACGAGCGAGCCGAGCGAGCGGTGGTTTGGGCGCGAGCGAGCTGAGCGAGCAGAAAGTTTCAAAAAGCTGAAACGAGTGAGCCGAGCAGCAGTTTTGCTGCTCGTGCAGGGCTCTAGAGCCTGCGCCATATCACCGTTCGGGGAGGTTACATGAGTGTTAGGGCGATTCTGGAGACCGTGGAATGGATAAACACGCTGGAGTTGGAGGACGTCTATGTCTACGGATTCCGCCATCTTATTCCTGGATATGTGCACGCGGACATGTCGTACCTTGAGTGCGGGTGGATGAGAACGAAGAAATCGTATGTATCATTCTTTTAAGCTTTAGTCGTAGAGTGGTGCTGCGTTGTACTAATCGCTCTGTACGTTGTAGATATCTTAGGCTTAATGCTTTGTTTGCTCGTGGAGCAAACTAGCCTCACCATGTCATCCATGTCGCCGAGGAATTGCTGGATACTTTCCATTTGACCTCCAAGGATCCACTCCCCCATCTGAGGACTACGCCTCATCTACGTACGGTTTGGCGGACAATCTGCGAGTACTGGTTAACACGCCTGGACTGCCGCGGGATCGATGCAGTGGAAAGCATCATGCGCAAGGTGACATCCAACGACACGTTCTCAATCTACAGTGCACTGCGTTTTTGTGGAGACGATATGAACATTGGCTACCTCAACGAATTTCGGTACTATATGTTACGTTTACTACTAGCAGCACGCGGTATGGCTTTTCCACGTAGGATTAACTGTTTCTGTAAATTGTGTCATCAGGCACATCAAAGGTTGTTGATAGACGCAAAATCTTGTTTTGGCAAAGGAACCAGTTTACGTATGCTTGATTATGCTTTGTAACCTTTGGTTACAAACTTTGACTTCTGTTAGCTTTCTTTTTTTTTTCGCGGGTGGTGGGTAGTCCTTGTTTACGATTTGCTGTTAGTAGATAAGGCGTGTTAGAACTTGACCGATTTCATTAAAAATAACAAGTATATAAAGCTGTGAACGTCGTGCAGCGGGGTACTCAGATTTGAAAGTGTTTCTTAAGTTCATTAGCTGAGTAGACATTACAAGTTGTGTTTATTGAGCAAAAAATGGATGAGCATTCTGACAACCACGAAGAAGAAGAAGAAGAAGGCTTAGGTAGCATCCCTAGCATTTCAGAAGATAATCTACTACTTGAGCAGGTAGCAGATACTTATTCTCAGAAATGGAAAACTGCACTTGCGGTTTTTCAGTGCCGCATCGCGCCCGAGCTGTTTGATGTTCCGTTTTCACGCCTCTGTGGAGTAATAGAAAGCATTTTTGAAGAACTGCTTAACAGAACTTTGGTAGACAAAATTCAGCCTTGGTATATGGTACGGGTGCAATTATACAGCGATCATTTGCGAAAGAAGATTCCTATTTGGACACCGTTAATGCGGCGGGACGAACTAACTGTGGACCGTATCATGGCGCGCGTGGAACGGGTGATGCAAAGTTCAACAAGCTTTCGCTTGGATGAAAGCTTCAGGATTGAAGTCCAGTACACAGAAACGCCGGATGGTGGAGGTAATGACAATCTAATGATTCCTGAAAGCGTTAAAAGGCTACTGAAAAACAAGATGTCTATCGTGCGTATAAAGAACGACGATAATTTATGTTTACCACGGTCCCTAGTAACGGCTAAAGCCTTAGCAGATGAAGATGTGCAACTATATTCAACGCTACGTGACACCAGGGCACATAAGCACCCAGAAAAGCAGCATAAGGATCAGCAGACATTATTGGCGAAACAGCTGGTAATAGCTGCAGGCCTGACGGAGCGGCGCTACAGCCTGGACGACGTAGAGACTTTTCAAAAGTTACTAAGCGATTATCAAATCATAATTGTTGGACTGGAACAGCTTAACAGCATTATCTTTGCTGGCGAATTCAGGGAAAAACGCTTAATGCTATTGTATTACGCCAACCATTTTGACGTTTTAACATCTCTTCAAGGGTGGTACGAAAAAAGCAAATGGTGTTTTCATTGTAATCATGGGTACTCTCACGAAGGTGATCATCGCTGTAAATATACCTGCAAGCTTTGTTTGCGCGAGAAGTGTGAGCTCGAGGCCAACTTTGCCCGATACTGTGCGGGATGCAATCGAACGGGCTTTAGAAACAACGAGTGTTTTAACCACCACCTTGCAAAGACAGCGAAAAGCACAAACCATAACAAAAAGAAAAGCATTTGCGAAAAATTCAAGGTCTGCATAGATTGCTCGGCATTCATAAAGACGAACGTGAAACGAGGATACGGGCCAGACCATGTATGCGGCGAGATTTATTGTTCGGTTTGCCTGTGTTATGTATTGCCGGAGCACCATGACTGCTATATTAAACCCGAGAAACTTGACGACAAAGTATTAGCCAAGCACAAATCTGCTAGCTTCATGTACTTTGATTTCGAGACGTACCCCGACGGTAATGGAAAGCACGTCCCAAATTTTTGTGTAATACAAGTGCAAGAAGATGGAAAGCCCATTGAAACCCGCCAATTTCCCGAGGACATCAGCAACACTGGCAAGGACATTGCAGGCGATGTGTGTGAATTTATTTTCCAAGAAAAGCATGCTGGATTTTTTTGTTTGGCACATAACTTTAGAGGGTAAGAAATTTTTGTTCTTCTTCTGTTTCACACAACATGAAATACGTTGAAAGTATATAGCTTACGGATAAAGTGGTGGGCTTTCTAGGTTCGATGGCTATTTTATTTTGAAATGGCTGCTTCAAAAAGGTCAGGCGCCTGACGTTATTATGAAAGGTTCCCAAATCACGCACCTGCGCGATCGAGAGTTTGGCATTAACTTTCGGGATACGCTCAATTATGTTCCTTTGTCATTGGACAACTGGGCGAAATCATTCGCCGTTGAGGAAACTAAAGGTAAATTTCCACATGTCCTGAACCGACCACAATTTTGGAACACAGTTATTGACTATCCGGACATTGAAAAGTTCAACTACCGATTTATGAGCGATAAAGAAAAACATGCTTTTATGGAATTCTATAATGAAGACAAAGTTTTAAAAAGAGGATTGTATGACGTCAACAAGGAACTGGCTGACTATTGCCACCAAGACGTGACCACGCTACGTTGTTGTGCAATGCAGCTGCGCGATCTTTTTTTCAAAATTACGGATGGACTATGTATTTTTCAATCAGGTCTAACCCTTCCAAGTGTTTGTCATTATTTTTGGAGGTCCAGGCTGCTAAAGCCTTTGGAAGTTGAGGTTATTCATATGCCCAGCAACAGAATATCCTCCAATAAAGCCAATTCATGGTTACGATGTATAAGCCAGAGCCAAGGCATTGAACTGGAGCGGGAATTCAAAATTGGTGCATTATTCATTGATGGGTACCATCTAGAAAGTCGAACTGCATATGAATTTTATGGGTGCGTGCACCACGGCCATCCAATATGCACGAATCCAAGTACACGCCACCCGCATCAGGACGCCACAATGGGTGAGCGAGTTGTACGAGCGAACCGTACGGCGCGAAGAAATGTTGAAGAAGCTTAAAATCAACATTTCGAGCGTTTGGGAATGTGAATATGACAGTCGCATTAAAAACGACGCTAATTTTGCTACTGCTATAAAAAACATACGGATTATTGAACCCCTCGACCCGAGAAAAGCATTGTTCGGAGGACGAGTAAATGCCCTAGTGTTAGACTATAAGGTCAAGCCTGGAGAAAAGATAATGTACTTGGATGTTGTATCCGAATATCCATATGTCAATAAAAACAAGCGCTATCCGGTTGGCAAGCATAAAAGAATTACTAATAATTTTAAAACCTTGGATAACTATTTTGGAATTATGCATTGCAAAATATTACCGCCTCGCAACCTGATGATACCGATATTACCGGCGCATTTCGATAAATTGATTTTCACGTTATGCCGTACTTGCGCTGAAGAAAAGAATCAGCAAGTTTGCACGCACGAGGATCCAGAGCAAAGAGCTCTGACGGGGACTTGGTGCACGCTAGAACTACAAGAAGCCGTGAAAAATGGTTATGAACTAATGGAAATTCACGAAGTATGGCACTATCCCGACAGCAGAGAGCGGTTTTTTGCTGATTATATTGATCTGTTCCTGGCGCTTAAAGTGCAAGCTTCTGGCTGGCCGGCTGATATTAAAACTCCAGAACAGCAAGATGCGTTTCTGGTCCACTTTTTCCAAACGGAAGGCATCCGGTTGGACGGTTCCAAAATAAGCTGGAATCCGGGACTGCGGCAGCTCGCTAAGTTGTGCCTGAATAGGTTGGTGCTTATTATTATTTGTTTGTTTGGTGTCGATAATATACTAAAGTAGTCCCTAGTATTAGTAATAGTTATTTATGCTATGGTGTTTACAGCTTTTGGGGCCGGCTGGGAATGAGAAATAACCTTCTTAGCACAGTTTTCGTGAACACTGTGAAGGATTTTCTGCACTACTTAACGTCTTCAGAATTCGAAATCCATGATTATGACGTATTTTCGGATGACGTTGTACAAATAATGTACACGAGGAAGGATGCTATGGTTCCGACTAACCCGAAAACGAACGTGGTTCTAGCAGCGTAAGTGATAATAATTGCAATTTTAGTGCTTCATTTAAATCAGGTAAATTAGACTTGTACTTGTATTTTGCTGTCAGGTTTACAACGGCACACGCGAGATTACATTTATTGAAATTCATGCAAAGAGCGGGCGAGCGATTACTATACTTTGATACGGTAAGAGGTGAAGCATTAGCCTAAAGCATATTAAACTAGAAAAAACGGGGAAAAAAACATAGTTTTTAAATCGTAGGACAGCATTATCTTTGTTCAGCGTCCAGGTGATGAGCCTTTTGAAACCGGGTCCACTCTGGGGATGTTAAGTAATGAGCTGGCCGAGGACGACTTCATTACGCGCTTCTGTAGTACTGGTCCAAAATCTTACAGCTACGTTACGGCATCTGGGCAGGAGGTCTGTAAAATCAAAGGATTTGAAATTAATAAACTTACAGGAACGGTGTTGAATTTTGATTCGATGTTGAAAATCGCAACCCAACCTCTCCAAGATGAGACCGCCTCCGATAGCGCTCATGGTAACGTTCAGCCCGAGTCCCTTTCCGTCACATATGGTAGTACTATTCGCCGGAAGAAACGGACATATGAAATCCAAGATGTGCCTATGACAAAGCGGTTCAAAAAGACGTACGACAAACGACGCATCTTAGATGACTTTACTACTGTGCCATACGGTTACGTACCATAGCCCTTTTATCATGAACTTGAATGTTGGCATTGTGTCGTTATTGAAAGTAAAGTCCAGGGTGGTGTTGGCTTCGTCGATACTGGCGGCGGCTGATGGCCGATAGGGTAGAAAAGTGGTGACGGTTCCAAGAGTAATGCCCGATAAAATAACTACCAAAAAAAGCAATCGTAGTGACAATGCATATCGCTCGACGCTTTTCCTCAGCAGGGTCCATGGTAATGCAGGATATATAAACGGACGCAATTTAGACAACTAAGAAACAGTTAGGGAAAACGAAACGTGCAACTGAAGTTTTGTCAGTTTTGCTGCAGTTTATATAGTAGTCGATAGAACATGTCTGGATGTGAACCCGAAAATGTTCGTTTATCATCAACATCGACATCGCCACCACCACCATCGCCCGGAACAATGGATGCCATTCAGCACATTATCTGGCAAGGTGACTGGCAAGGTGGATTGCACGATAGGTTAAAAGGTTGCCTCGTGGGGAGTGTTGTTGCCAGCAGCTTTGGTCGTCTGTTCAATACACCTTCTACAGAAGTCATTTACCAACCTTGAGAGAAGTTCATGAGCGGTGTGCTGACGTGGCCAAGAATCCTTGTTATGTGCGTTGTGGGTTTAGTGGAACAGTTGCTCTGGTGGTTCTCGAAGTAACTATAGATTGCTATACAGTCGAGCGTGACTATATAGCCGATGGACTGGGTAAAGCGTTAGGATCATCCAACTACTTTGGGGGTAGTAAGCACATGGAGCGTTTATTAAAAGAGTTTCATCTGCGATGGAATGCTGCAAGCAGCGAGAGCAACTTTGCTCTTCGACGAGATGACGAAGCTTACGTTTGTGGGCCTGCAAGAAGTGCGCACGGTGGACAGGGCTCACGGGTATCACGGAGCAGTGATGGCTGCAGCGGTGGCTTTGTACTACTGCCGCGAACCTAGTTGCTTCCTCCGGAGAGAAGTCAAGAAGTGTGTAGCCATCACACATACGCATCGTTTGGGGATTGATGGAGCTGTGCTGTTTGCCTTTGGTTTACAAGAAGCGTGTAATAGCGCCCGCGCAGCTTCAGTGACGACCTTTTGAAACGGCTAGAGGATTATGCTTCAACTCGAACCACCATTTGGAGAGAACATGAAAGCTGCCAATGCATTATACGTAAACCATAGCGTACTGCGTACGCCAGCAGACATTATCCGACTGTATCCGAATGTTAGCTCGCGCGCAGCACAGGACTTTGTTCCGCTGGCTATGGTCATGGCATTCGTGGGCGGAAACCTGCAGTGGTGGTCTGGATATAACATCATGTCACCTTGGAAGCGAATGGTCCAGAGCTGCATTGCACTTGGAGGTGACACGGATGGTCGCAGCGTTCATGGCAGGCGCATTATATGGGGCGTTCTATGGACTTTCATCTGACCAACGTGAGTTTGAGGCGATGCCGAGATAACGGAAGCAAACAATGCTAGTACTTTAGCTGATGCATTGTATAAAGGGTGTCCACCCGATGACTAAAAAAAAGCAAGAATAAACATGCTGCTGTTTTAACCTATTTAGTTGGCTATAAAATGATTAGGTCGGCTCGTGTTTCTGATGTTAGTGCATAGAGTTTGCGTATTCCTGCCTCCACTTTGATTTAGTTGTCCATTATTCTGTTTGTTTGCTTTGAGTTTAAAGCGTTATCGTAGCGTGTTACCGTTATTTGTGATTATTTTCCAATTTTCGCCGCAATGGCTGCAACGCGAAGCGTAGATAGTGTATCAGGTGATAACAGTGACCTTTTGGCTGCCTTGTCGTCATCACCATCGTTGTCGACTATTCCGGCATCACTTCAGCCTGTTAGGGCATTAACTATTACTAGTACTAAGAAACGTAGGGTCACCGCGGACTCGTATAAGCCCAAAACCGATGCAGTTAGCTTAGCACGGCGTGGGTTTACCCAGGGGCAGGTTGCATTTCAGTACGAAGGCGGGCCAGTAATTAAATTTGGAGGAGAAAAATTCATTGCAATTTACTTGATGAACAACCGTTTGCGATACATTATTGGGGAGTTTGATAAAAATCAGGAGGGTCAGTGGGTTCCGAGTTTAGCGTCCAAGCATGTCGAGTTAGATGCGAAGCAGTTTGCAAAACTCATGGGTTTACAACTGTGTGGACAACTGGAAAGGTTGATCAACTATGACGAAGGCTCTACACCCATTACGGCAATGCATGATTTGGGCGGAGGTTACTTCTTTAACTGGGGATGGTAAGAAAGTCATTCAAATAACAACCTTGTGCTTTTGTTTCGATGGCACATTACTATTATATTTCTGCGGTTGCTTCTCCTCAGGCTTGACGAAGTACCCATTGCCAACATTCGGGTTTACCTTGAAGCAAACTGCCTGAAAGAACCGGGAACAAAGGTGGTCATCGGCTCACCCAGTGAGAAACGACTTGCGATGAAGTGAGTGTTGTGTTCTAGTGATAGCAACATAATAAATACCAAATTTACTTATTTTTTTGGTTGTTTCGTAACCGTTTAGCTTATTGATATTATTATGGTTGTTGTTGTTGTTGCAATTGTAGTGAAAAGAACTGGACGGCGTTCTGTGAACTTTTGGACAACGGAACCATCCTCAAGCATACGTATGAGGTGCTGAAGGGACGATCCGGGTACTTCATGCAAGTCTGCGCCGACTACCAGGATATTTTTGAGAAGCTACCGTGGCCTATGATGGAGCGCTTTTGCAAACGCCTGACGCAAGAATGCAAGCTTTGCCACCTTATGGAGGATACCTTTGCTGATCCACTGCAACCTGGAGCTCATGATGGCCATACTGCATGCCGCTACTCGGATCGTATACAACTAACGGACCGTATGCGAAGCTATGTCTGTAAGGATGTGGAAAAGACTCTGCTGGGGCTGTTTATCAAGCAACTGCCGTACCGCTACGCTGACGAAGCAGCGCACTCGCATCATAATGCGGAACGCAACTTGCTGGAGGCATACCACTTCAAGCCGGACGAATTTCTGGTAATGCACGGAGATCGACTGTGTGCTGAAATGCTGCAGCGTTTCAAGGAGCAGTTCAAACTGAACTAGTATGAATGTTTCTGTGGATGTTTGTGTGTGCCTGTTTGGTTTTTCAAGCCATCATCTTAGCTCGTTTAGGTAATTGTAATCGCTATAACAGTTTCAGTGTATTCGTAATCATTTATTACTGATGTTATTTGCAAATATTTCTAGTTCGCGTTGGCGGCCCCAAGTCGATTTGTCATTTTAATTGTTACGCGACCTCTGCAAAACCAAAGGTGTGTGCGCAGCGCACCTCCCTGATTTTGCGAGGGCTATATTGCAATTTAATTGTTAGTAGAATGCTTCAAAATTATACACGTGTTTTTGCATTGAAAAGTCATTAATAAAGTTACGAACCATCAAGTCGTTTTGAAATTGATTATCAATTCGATATAGGTTATGAATGATGTAGGAATAGGAAAAGCGACATACTGATCGCATTACTATAAAAAACATGCAGTGTTGAGCGCAGGTAGTGGACAATGGCTGTTGTAAAACAGCTCGCTGTTCGTATAGGGGCAACGGTGGTGATGACGCAGGCTGGCCGATGAGTTGCGTTTTCAAAAATTTTCAAGTGACTGACTATAATAGGCCACGGGTTTGCCGTAGGAATCGAAAACTTCAATAAATGAGGGGCACTCAACGTAGACGGCAATCCAATGTGTTCCGGGTTCGCTGGCTGGATCAGTGTTTACAATAAACGCAGCAGGTAGGTCGACCTCTGTAAGATGCTGCTGCTGTAGCTCATCTAGGGCGTAGACACCGCGAAACACCGATCTCAGCATGTGCGAAGCGGGGTTGTACTGTGACCACATGATATTCCGAATTTCCTGTTCGTTCATTGTGACGATTTTTTGTTTAATTACGACGCAAAGTCGCAAATAACCTGGCGTAAATTGGTGAATTCTATTAAATGGTCGCACGTTATCCAAGCCAGCATTTGATAGGCATTAGCTAGTGGTGTGTCAAAAGTTACTTCCAGGCCCACTGTTCCTGATCGAATTAGCGTCATGGGTCCTAAGCCTGTAGCCGTTGGCGTCAGGTCAAAAGCGAACACTGTGTATCCTTTTGCGTATGTATGACGATCCAGAATATGGGCTCCAGCTGGATGGTTTTTTTGATTCAGAACATCCAAGAAGCCGTCATAACACTTTAAATAGCGGTTGTTTGGAAAGTCACATGTAGGGTATCGTTGGGTATTGCTTCCCATCCACATTAATACAGATTTGACGAACGCGACAATGATCAAATACAAACGGATTGAGGCTTGTTGTGCCATGGAAGCGGTCCGATTGCACAAAAGCAATAAATACCACCTTAGGTAGTTGGCCGTACTTGAGGTCGGAAAATGCTATAGTTTGGGTGCCAGCAGGAATAGCACGCGCCTTTAATTCTGCGCGTTCAATGTGGTATTTGGCTGTTGTTGTTTGTTACTTTTGTGTAATA